TTCCTGGCAACGACGCCACTAAAGCCGCGCAGGCGCACTCTGAAGTTGGCCCCAGACCCCGCCACTCAGCCGCAGAGGTGAGAGGTTCAAAGTTATTATTTGAGTCTGTTACGTTTCGGTATATAGCCATACATCGCCTTTAAAAAAAAAATGTTTTACTTATTATTTTATGTGTATGCGTGTATTGCCTGCATGTAGGTAAGTGCACCCGTGTCGTGCAATGTCCGCGGAGGACAGAAGAGGCTGTTAGATCCCCTGGAACAGGAGTTAAGGACAGTCGTTAGCTGCCATGTGGGTGCGCTGGGATTCGAACCCTGGTCTTGTGAAAGAACAACCAGTGTTCTTAACCGCTGAGCCATCTCTCCAGCCCCAACCATACATCGTCTTTATAAGCTCCGTAGTCTCTCACATCCCTCGACTTTACTCTGTATCCCAGTAAAGAAGCCATTCTTTCTGCCGGGTGTTTCCTCGCTATATATCCTTTCTACGGCCGGTCGCCGGGAACGTATGCTTTTTGACCTGTAAGGGAATCCGTAGAATCTCGCGATAAGAACCGGTCTGAGGAGCTGTCATGGCTGCGCCTACGTGTGGGCACGGGATTCCGCTGTAGGGTGAGTAAAGGGCGAGCTTCGGCGCAGGGCGCGGGATCTTCCTAGGCTTTTTGCTGGTGGAGGAAGGTCTGAGGAGTGGCCGGGCGTTAGGTGTAGGGTTGGGCCGATGCGAGGTGGCCCAGGTACGGAAGGACGCTGGCCCTGGCTTCGGAGTCCTGTGAAGCTGCCTGGTCGAATCTGCTTTCCCAGCACCGAAACAATCACGTTTCTTTCTGCTTCTCTCTGAGCAAGGCCAACGTGTCCTGTTTTACAGTCCCAATTCGGCCGATGCTATATCATGTTGAGAAGTCTCTTAATGATATTATTTTCAATGGACACCTTCAAGGCAGGCAGTATTAACAAAATTCTCCTTCTCGGAGGAAGGTTTATTGAACACTTGCACACACACACACACACAAAATAAAAATTAAACAATCCACATATATATCTGAGACAAGGTCTCACAAGGTAGCGCTTGCTGGCCTGGAACTCACTGTGTAGACTAGGCTGGCCTCGAACTCACAGATATCTACCTGCCTCTGCCTCCCGAATGCTGGGACTAAAGGCATGTGCTGTCACGCCTGACCTAGATTTTTATTTTTTTAAAGAAGCAACTTTATGCCACAACTACTACCTAAAATGGTTAATCTGGGTACTTTACAACAGTGTACATGTTGTAAGAAAAGTGGAAGAAACTCATATTGGTGAAATAGTTTTGTCAAAGCTTTAGTGGCTTGATAGGCTCTAGTGCTAGCCTCTGTTAAATAAGTTTAAAAAAAAAAACTTTGTTTTAACTTTTCTCTCTCTTATTAACCTGTCGTCCACAGCAAAGCTCACTGCGGTGCTCTTTCATTACTAAGGTAATGTTTGCTGCGTCTTGAGAATTTACAAGTGTTTCTGTGGATAGCAAAATGAATAACAAAGCAGGTTCCTTTTTATGGAACCTCAGACAATTTAGTACTTTAGTCTCAAGAAGCAGAACTCTGAGGCTGTGTCCTTTGGGATTTTGCAAAGCAAAAAATGTTCATTCAAACTGGAACTCAAGAAACCTGCTGAATGATTTTGATAGTGGAATGCAGCCATCCTTTAGATACTTCTCTCGGGATGTATTCCTTTTGAAATCAGTAGATGATTGTACTCAAACAAAAGGTGTCAGCAATGCAGCTGTCTTTAGATTTGACAGAATACTTTGTCCCAGAAGATTGTCCTTTGACGCAAAACATTCTTGCGTCTCTGATGGGACAGCTGATAATGATTTAAAGAAAGTAACCATTTATCGAGCCTCCAGTGAAGATGCACACAGCAAGGAAATGAAGCCAAACCCTGTGAGCCACAGAAAACTGGCTCAGGAGTGTAACTCCCTAAGTGATGTGTTGGACATGTTTTCAAGAGCACCTACATTTCCTAGTAGTAACTATTTCTCAGCAATGTGGACAATTGCCAGAAGGATACCCGATGACCAGAGGCGCTTTGAAATACAACTGATGTTCAGACACCCTGCCTTTAACCAGCTGTGTGAACACGCGATGAGAGAAGCCAAGATGATGCACTATAGTCACCTTTTGTTCAGTCTCAATGCTATAGTGAAGCTTGGAGTCCCTCAGAATACTCTCATGGTACAGACTTTGCTGAGGATAATTCAGGTAAAGTCAAGAGGAGACACGTGATTTTTACTGTGTCATATTTTGGAAGAATGGGGGAAATAGCTGTGTAACTTCCTTGAAGGAGACGATAAGTGGAATATATGTTTTATATGTATTTATTTCTACAAATCTATAATTGGAGACCTTAAGTTAGCTAGGTCATTTCTTTTGCTTTGGAAATTTATGAAAGCCTGCCCCACTCACCTTCTCTAGTGTTAAGTAGGGATGAAGAAGCTAAAGTGAAGAGAGCTGCAAGATAGGGAAAGAAAGGTTGGGTAACTGAAGGAAAAGAGGAGGAAGGGAGGGGATATTTGTTGAGTATCCTTTTCTATAATTCTATTTAATCCTCTCAACAGCACTGCAAGGTTGATCTTTAGTTTTTCAGATGAGGAAAAGATTCCATGATAGCAAGCTGCTTGGTTAAGGACACATGGCTAGTGAATTCTTTTACTCACACAATAAACATATTGAGTGTCAGCTATGTACAGTGTACCACATTTGTCAGTAAGTGTATAAAGATACGGTTCCTTATAATCATGAAGCCTACAATTTGAAAGGGAAGACATATTTCTTAAACATATGTATTTTTTTGAGAATTTCATACATGAATATTGTATTTGCATCATTTTTACCCTCCCAGTCCCCCTCCAAACTCTTCCCATGTCCACCCCTCAACTCCCTCACAATTTCTTGTCCTATTCTTTGATTATTATTACAAATATACATATACACTGAGTCCATTTAGTGGTGCTCATGTGTACATGTGTTTAGGACTGCCCAGTTGGAGTTGGATAACCTCGAAGGGAGCTAGTCCTTGAAGAAAACTGATTCTCCCTCTCTCAGCATCCACTGAAGCCTGTAGCTGTTCATCTTGAGGTAGGATCCAGGGAAATTTCCCCCATCCATGTTGGCATGTCAACTGGTTTTGTCATGCAGATTCATTAGGCTACCATACTGTAGAGATTTCATGGGTGCAGCTTCCCTGTCAGGTGTCTTGTCCCTGTGGCGCTTACAGTCTTTCTCCCCCCCCCCCCACTTTGGCTGTGTTCCCTGAGTCTAAGGTGTAGACGTTGCATTGTAGATGTATCAGGGCTGGGCACCCCACAGTGACTTATTCTCTGCATTTTTACCAGTTGTGGGACTTGCATCTGTTGCAAAAAGAAGCTGCTTTGATGAGTAGAGAGAACTACACTTGTCTATGAATATAAGGATACGTTTTTAGAATACAGTAAGAGAGTACATTGGGTTAGGAAAGTGACCATAGTAGGTTCTTCTCTAGTGTCTGCAACCTCTCCAATCATGTGTCCATGACTATAGGTACAGTACCAAACAGATTTCCTCCTATTGAGTGGCATTTAAGTCCAATTAGGCAATTGTTGAAGACCCTCAAAATAAAAGTGCCACTGTTGGATCAATAGAAATAGTGTAGGCTGGTGATTGTTGTGGTTCATAGGCTTTACAGTCTGATAAGACCATTGATTGGTTTTCTGTTTTGACTGCTTATACAGTACTTTCTGATACTATGAGAGCTGGTAGGAAGATGTAGTTTGCAGGCAGTTACAAAAGTAATAACCAACATTGCTTTAGGGACTCATCCTATATTGTAGGCACTGTGATGGACATCCGGGAATACAATTATAATATTGACCATAGACCTTTCAGTGCAATGAAGAAAAAAAAATAGGGTCCTATGAGCGTGTATAGTAGGAGTTTCAACCTAGTTCTGTCTTCAAGACACAGTGGTAAAATGGAGAGGTGGGTAAAAGTCAGTGTTTGAAGCAAAGCTATATACAAAGTTTAAGCACACACTACCCCATGTATAACTCTTTAAACAGGTATTATTATTATTATTATTAATCTTGCTGATTAAGAAACTAAGAGTTAAAGAGGCTAATTACTTGCATAAGGTGAATTCCCTTATTTGTAAGGGCAATTGAGTGTCCCTTAACTGAAATGCTTGAAACTAGAAGTGTTTCTGATCTTAGTTTTTAAACATTTTGGAATATAATATTTGCATAGACAAATTCTACTTGAGAATCTCAAATCCAAAAATTCCTAGTATTTTAGGGCTGGGAAGATAGCTTGGTGGTAGAGCAGCTGTCTAGTGTGCCCAAGGCCCTGGTTTCAGTCTCCGATACCACCTAAAATCCCCAATTCTAAATGTTAACAAAATTTGAGACTTTTTGAGTGTCAGTGCTTGAGTTTCAAATTTTTAAATTAGAGACGCTCAACTTGGTAATTTTTGCTGATTTAATTAACAACTAATCCTTGATAGAATTAGGATTCAAACTCAGAAGATTGTATCTAAGCAAAGTCCAAGAAAATAACTAGTAGTTTGTGAGGGGGTTGATAATGAAGGGGCTGGTGTTTGAAGCAGAGATTTTAATGCCTAACATCCCAGTGGAAAAGTTTGGCTACTTCAGGGAGCTAAAAGTAGTTTGGTCTCTCTGAAGTGCGGAATGATGTGGCTGTGTGTTTGGTTGGGTAGGAAGTAAGTTGTATTGGTGGTTAAGGGAGAGGGATGAGGGGCAAGGATAGAAAGCTGAGAAAGTAGGAGCCAAATCATAAAAACATATTTCATGCCTGGTGGTTTGTATTTGCCCAATAGGCAATGGGAGTCCATTGGAGGATTTTAAGTGAAGGATTGACAAGCTCAAGTTTGCATTTGCAGTTTCAGACAAGGGTGTCAGTATCTTGCTTGATGTCACTGAAATGTCACCCAGATGTGAAGAAGTAATCATTTATTTTTTAAGAGTGACTACTCCAGACTTCTAAACTCAATAATTAAAGTTTGTTTAAAATGCAGGAATTTCTTGGGGATTATCTGACACATGTTCTGTTTTGATAGAATTTATGAATTGAGTTTATAGATACATGAGCTTTTAATTTTCTATTTTAACTTGATTTCTATATGTTTTCAACCAAGAACCATAGAATATCCATGTTTGTTTGGAAGACTCTATTAGTTCCCTACATAATTTAAAAAATTATTGATATGAGTCACCTTACCTGGACCATGATAGTCTGATGTACTAGATCTTAGAAAGGCACTCATAAGACTATAGCATCTATATTGGTGACACATGAGTAGTAGAGTCAGAACATTTGTGTGTATGATTATACTTCACTGATGTGTGGGGGATACCATAAAGGCATTAGCTGGCGGGGCGGGGAGGACAGTGTGCTGTCAACTAATTTGCCCATCAGACACATTGTCAAGTAGTCTTTCCTTTCACATCAGATGTCGATGGAGTATATAGATTTATTAAGAAAACATTTTCATAGGAAGGAAACCTTTTATTTTCTTCTAATCTTATCCACTTAAAAAAATTCATGATTTGGTTGTTACTCAAGACTTTGTGACCAATCATTAGGCCGATTATTTAGCAAAGAGCAAAAAGTGATCGAATTATAGAATACTAGAGAACCTGTATTATTACTGTTCACTTTCCAGATCTAAGTCCCACTACTATTTCCAGGATCTAAACTAGTACCCTAATTAAAGGGACCTGAAGGAAGGAGCTGGAGCTGTACTCCCCTGAGATTCAGGCAGCAGTGCTAAAATGTAGTGATGAGGTATGAATAAGAAGATTCACAATGGGAATTAAAGCTTGATACCCCAGAAGGGATTTAAGGAAATTGTGAGGACATAGTCTCTCAAGGTTCCTTTTGGGGAACAACTGCCCTATTTACCTCAGTAGCTCTTACATTACCCTACCATGTTGTCTTCATGATAGCTTTGGGTCCTAAGAAGAGATAAAAATAATGTTTGATAACAAGTTATTTTAGAAGCAAAGGAATCTAACTAGTAACAAATGAATTTCCAATGCTGTATAAGAAAGTGTTGATGTATAGAAGATTATGTGTCGGTTATTTGGAAAAGTCACTGAAGTGTGCCATCTTATTTCTCTGAAAACATGTTGACAGTGGACTGTGTGAATTTTGATACCTAGTCCTTTGACTCAAAGTATCAGTTCAGTGGTTTTGCTTGGGGTGCACTAGTCTACATGGGCTCATCACCTCTGATTTTGTAACTATATTTTCTTTTTTTTTGACAGTGAGATGAATATTTAATAATGGCATTTAGGAAGAATAATAGCTAAAAATTTTAAAGTAAATTTTTAAAAGCAGTTTTAAAAGTAATACAAGGTATTACTACCATATGAAATTTTACTTTAGGATAACATTGAATAGAATAATGTACCATGTGTAACACACTATTCAAATATAGAGTTAATAATAGTCCATACTGGAGAATTGTTTACTCTTCATTCAGAGCAAAGGATGTAGCTACAAGTTTCATGTTCCAACAGGGTATAATGTTGAGTGGTAGAAGACAGAGTGAAAAAAATGGCAATTCTTTTGCAGAAAACATGAATCTCAAGATCTCCCTGACAGCAACCTTTCCCATGTCCAATCTATTCAAATAGCGAAGGAAAAAACAAAACAAAACAAAACAACTATGTGATGATGAGATGATAGGTTTACACTCTTGATCTTGAAGTCACATCCAGCCAGGAACCACACAGCTCCACAAGTATAAAAGCAGTTGGAACAGACAGCCACCATGAGGCGATCCAAACACTAGCCCAGATCTTAGGAGGTTTTGTTCTTAAAGACACTGCTTTCCAGCATCTGTCATTACAGCAATAAGGCCTGCTCCAGACTCACTAATTCATAAAACATGCATCTGAGACTCATATTTTAAAAAATTTTTTTATTATTTATTTTATGTGTATGAGTGTATTGCCTGTATGTGTATAATTACACCCCTGTCTTACAATGCCCGTGGAGTCAGAAGGTGTTGCATGCCCTGGAACTGGAGTTACAGACAGTTGTTAGCTGCCATGTAAGTGTGGGAAATCGAACCTGGGTCCTCTACAAGAGCAGTCAGTGCTCTTAACTACTGAGCCATCTCTTCAGGCCCCAAGATTCACCTTTTTATGGTTGACGTTTACCATCTTAAATTTTGCTCTTAAGTGACAAATTTAGTTAACAAAGACAGGATCATTTAGGTGATGTAATTAGTTGTATTATAGTGAGGAAACTATCTTGTATTTTTGCATCTTTTAAAATGTTTGATTTATTGCAGTTAATTCCATTTATTTTAATTATATTTTTAACAGGAACGCATCAATGAGTGTGATGAGAAAGATCTTTCGGTTTTGTCAACTGTTTTAGAGACAATGGAGCCGTGCGCTAATGTGCATGCTCTTAGAGCGGGATTGCAGTAAGAACATCTTATGCCTTCTTCCTATTGTTTTCTCTGTCCCCCTTATATGGGGAATTAAAACTGGAGATGAAATTGAAACTGCCTTGGGGGAGCATGGAGAGGAAAGCATTGGTATAGTTAATACGTCATTAAACTTGAAACCCTGATTCTAGATAAGATAAAGCTAGTAGTAGTACTTCTTTTTAAGCATCTACCATATAAAATGATGTGGGTAACATTGAAATGTAAATTAATTTTTCCTTGAACATAGTACTAATATAAGGTGTGGGGAGAACTGACTTGTGTATTCAATGCAGAATAGTTATTTGGGCAATCTGTAGGGGTTACATTGCACTGGCTCAGCATAAAAATTTATAAATTGATACAACTGATCTGATGTCACAAATGATTGAGGGTTATAATTTCCTTTTTCTGTTGACTTTACAATTGTTTTAGTTTGTGATTTGTTCATTAATAAAGATGGTACAGTAGTGTGAAAAGAAATATGCTAGGCTAGCTTTGGATCTTGGGCAGGTAGATCACATCTTGCCTATTTAAAATAGAGGCTGCATCAAATTAAATCTTAGGATTTTTCTTCTGGTGTGGAAATTCTAGGATTACAATATTTCTTGTGTCTAATGACAGAATACTAGTTGATCAGCAAGTTTGGAAAATAGAACATGTCTTCATATTACAAACGGTGATGAAATATATTGGAAAAGATACATCAGTTGCTCTTAAAAAGAAATTGGAGGTAAACCCCTGAATTTTCTCTAGTGGGTGAGATTTGAAAGGACTGTCTTTTGAACTATCACTTCCTATTTTTCAGGGAGTACTTTGCTATGCTTTTGGATTTAGCTTTGCTGAAGTGAATTAAGGCATATTTATCCATCATTCTATAATTTATCCATTATATATGTCATTTTTCTTAAACTTCCTCCACTTTAAAGTTTATTTTCTAACAAATGATAAATATGTGTTTGTTTTTATATATTGGCTTATATGTCATTTTTCTTAAGCTTTATCCTCTTAAAAGCTTATTTTCTCACAAATGATAAATTAAATGTAATTTTGTTTTTCTGTAGATGAAAGCCTTGAAGGAATTAGACAAATTTTCTGTTGTGAATAGCCAGCACATGTTTGAGGTACTAGCTGCCATGAATCACCGTTCTGTTGTCCTTCTGAATGAGTGCAGTAAGATGGTCACAGGTAAGGGGGCCTTTTTTTTTTTTTTCATGATTTTTAAATTATTTGCTTAATTTTTTTTTTAGTCTTTTTGAGACAGGGTCTTCCTGTAGCCCTTGGAACTCACTATGTAGCCAGGAACTCACTAGACCAGGCTGGCCTCAATCTCATAGAGATCCACCTGCCTCCACCTCCCAAGTGCTGGGATTAAAGGTGTGCATCACCACACCTGGCTTTTCTTTCATGATTTGTAGCAGCTGACCTGTATTTGTTTTGAAAACCTGGTTCTTATACAAAGGAAAATATATAAATATACATATAAGTTGTATATATGTATATTTTTGTATAAATTGTGTATCTATAAATTGTAT